TCCCGGGAGAAATTAAAAAAAAAAAAGCCATTTACAGTTAAAAAAAACACACGAACGTTTACCTTATATTTTTGGCCTGAAGACGTTATGGCTCATTAGCATGGTCAGCCCTGAATGCTTCAGTTTTTTTTCCTCGCGTATCTCAGTTTTTCGTAAGTACATAAGTACTTTATTATTGACATTTGTTATCAATAAGAAATACCACGAGATAAGATATATTTGGGAGTGTATATGGTGATCCTCGAAAGCCTACTTTTTAATTGATATATTTTTTCGCGGCTTAACTTATGCGCCTATTTCTTGTACGCTTCTCCGTACCACGATCGCAACGACACGGAAAGAGTGAAATACGACTGGTAAATAACAGCGCTGACATTGAGTGTAAATAATACACGTGTCATAACGTCCCGTTGGTGATGACGTGGATTTCTCGGCTCCGGAGAAACTGTCTAAGCTGCATCAAAATAGTTAACTCCTAAAAACGAAACAAAACAACGATTGCATAAAAAAACATGTTAAAACCACATTGTGACTTGCGTAGTGAGGGTCGTGTACTCTATCCCCTTGTCCTGCGGCAGAAGCCTGCGTAGGGACAGACGGGGCGATGTTTGAATAAACACCGGTAAAATGTTTCTAGAGCAGTGTTGAAACACCCTGGAATTCATTGATGCGATTGTGGATGCACCCCGGCCTTTGGTAAAGTGTAGAACCGTTAGTAAACATAAGGACAAACTAACCCGCAACGCTGTAGAAGTACGCGAGATTGGCAAACTCTTCACTATTACAGTCTCGATCATCCTGGGGGCATGCTGGGTAAATTACTTCCAAAATGTAATTTAATTACAATTACAATTACTTTGCTCCAGAAGTAGTTTAACTACACTTACAATTGCTGCTACGTGAAAAGTATTTCATTACACTTACAAATTACTTTTAAAAAGTAATACAATTACTTTGCAATTACTTATTTCTGGGAGCGAAGCCACCTGGGTCATACAACTCTAAACTAGTTGTTGAGAATGCAACGCATTTCTTCATCCCTTTCCCCAATGTTTGGGGAGGCTTAAGCGCCGCGGTATAAATGTCACGTTTCGTACTTTCCCTTTTGTGAATATTGTTAAATGAATAAAATAACTTGACAGATTGAGGTAAGGAAGTCCAACGTTCTTATATTTTCAATAACTAACAATAAATTAGTTCTTTTACTCGAAGACGCCAGATCGCTAAAGTAAAATTGGGTTAACGTACTTCTGTCAGTCAGGCAAATAAAACTGTGACAATTAGTCATATCTGAATATCTTAATTGTGTCAATATAAAAGCACAATCCTCATGCGCTAATACGACCACATAAACATACAAACGTTTTATGCGATTGTAAATTGTTTACATTGAGTTGAAATTATAATCGTTTAGAAATATGTAAGAACCGACTCGGGGCCCCCAAATCAATGGCGACAATATCCACGGATATGATGTCAGTCTCCAAAATGCTTAAGCGAATAATATTTTAAATAAACCCAACACGAAATAAACTTTAACATATTACAAAGAAACAAAAATACGATAGTACTAAAAAAAAGACGTAAAAAACTGGCAAAAAAAACAAACAAACAGAAATCTTCATAAACAAATGAAATCCCCAACCTCCGCTGAAAGCTGAAGCTCAATTTTGCTTCTTTCAATATTTTGGCATGTCTACACTATTGTTTTCTGCTCGCACCGCAGACGGTGCCACACGGCACCGTTGAGGTAGGCTCCAAAGAGGATGGTCTCTCAGCCAGCAGTGTGAGCAGCAAAACAACAAACAATGCAACGCTGGTTTTGTTGTGTGTGTGTGAGAGTACAGTGCGCCGCAATATGAAAGACCCACTGGGAGCGCGTGGCCAAGGCGGTGGCTGGCGGGGGCGTTGCGAGTGCTCTGGGCAGTTCCATTCTGCTTCGAGGGGAGGACGCTCACTCGAGACTTAGCTAAAGCGCGCGCTTATCAGTTTGTGCTGAGCCTCGAGTGAGCGTCCTCCCCTCGAAGCCGCGGAGCGCTCGCAACGGTCCCGCCAGCCACCGCCTTGGCCACGCGCTCCCAGTGGGTCTTTCATATTGCGGCGCACTGTACGTGTCTATGTGTGCGAGTGTTTCACCGAGAGCTAGGGCCGCTTGTGCGACCGCTGAGGCTTTCAGAGAGGTACCGTCGGCGCCGCAAAGTCTCGCAAAAGTAATTGAAATTCTGCCTGAAATTTTGCAATTACTGACGCTAGAAAGTCATTAAATTACAATTACCATTTCTTTTAGCCGAGAGTAAATTATTACAATTACGAGTTACAAAGAAAGTAAATAAATTACATTATTTCAATTACTGTATTGAATTACTACCCAAGCATGCCCAGGGGCCCCCTCACTATTACTGTCCACCACAAAGTGTTGATATTTAGGTTGGGATAAGGCCAGCGCGCGCGAGTGACTTTAAGAGCACGTGACCACTATCTTCTGTATGTTTTCTTTTTCTGACTCGTACGATTGTAACACACGCAATATTCATACTCAATGTAAGCACCAATGAAGTTTAGTTGTGAGTCAACGTCGTTCTTTGTCAGTCTTCTTTTACTCTCTTCGTGTCGTTGCGCCGTTTGTACTTTCAAAAATGAACCAAGTCACCAAATCGTCTTCGTTCTTTATAATCTCACCTGATCTAGAGGCAACGCGCAGCGTCCTGCTCGGTGGCGTAGTAATGGGGGGGGGGGGGGGGGGGTTTGGTCCTGGGTACCAGGCGTCCCAGTCATGTAGGGGAGACGGGGAAGGCACCTGTGGCGGTGCTGCCTTGCCCTCCCCCCCCCCCCCCCCCCCCCCCCCTGCCGCCCCACTTCTCTCGTTGGGACCTCGGGGAGTGAATACAAAAGGCCTATTCGGCAGGCAAGTGTTCCAAAATGCGTCTCTGGAGCATCGGCCCGCCGACCGAACGGCAACACAGATAGCGCGCAGGGAACGCGTGACGAGGAGACGGCCAAGCGCACGCCGTCATCGGTTGAGGTCGGGAGGAAGCAAAAACGCGCGGGCACGTTTTCGGGGGTAAACAAAGGTACGAGCTGCGCAAGCAGCAGACAAATCTGCATACCGTATGATACATCCTATCACTTTAAGTCCAGCCTTAGTTGACGCTACGAGTTCATGGAACCAATCAATCAGCTTAAAAAGCGCGAGTTAGTGGGTCTCTCCTGTACGTGATTGGTTCGGCGATGACAGAGCACGTACAACACCTGGCGGACGCCATGACGTTACACTTTTGAAGCTGTTTGATTGGTCGCCCATCGGCTGGTAGCGTCGGCTGCGTCTTGACTGAAGGTCAAATGAAGTGTGAGGGTGCCGGATGGCCTCTAGCTACGCCCGGCTACAAACAAAGAAAATTATTTTTGTAATAAATCATAATAATAAAAGAAAAAACTAGCAAATAAGAAGTACATGGAAGAGATAAAAATGTGATTGGAAGAGTAAATTGTTTTATATAAATACGCGATGCACATTTTGACGCTGCACACCTCAAGTCAACGAGAGTTGTGAGCGTGGAATTTCCGTATAAACCCTGTCCACAAACTTAATTAAAAAAAAAAAAAGTTTGTAGTTATATATATATATATTTTAATATAGTCACTGGCAAGTTTGAAGAAACGCAGGGCGTGGCCAGTGTCTAGAATCTTATTAGGGCTCAACAACCAATAAGATTTCAGCATTAGTCGATTCGATCGCCGTAGAACCCATCACGAAGAAAGGTGCGTGAACCTAATAAGCAACCTCCTGCGCCAGGGACAATGAAATCGTAAATTGGCTACCCAGTGGAGCGTCTGAGCGGACGTCTCGTTCTGGACATGCTTTTGTCTTCGGTTTCAACAGAGCACAAAGGTAGCTGAAGCTCCCCGGAGAAACGAGGAAGAGGTCACTTTCCGATGCAGCCTCGTAATAGCGACCTATACATTTCACGACGACAGTTTTCAACTTCGCTAAGAGACTTATTTCTGAAGCGTGGATAACGGCGAATCGTCGACGGATGGTCATTGTGAGGCTTCCCAAAATCTTACATTAGCTCTTGTATATATGGCTGGCATGTGACGTCATTCAAGGCCATGCCAGTGTTTTATGTGCCACGCGAGCGTTCGGTTCGCCGTGTTAGCTTTGACCGCAAAAGTTGTAGTTCGAAGAAATCAGTAAGTATATACCTAATAACAATCAGTATGTGCAGCAATGGCAGCACTTGCAAGCTACGTATTCGTGTGATGTTTCTGTAAATAAGCCGTCGATGACGGAAGGCGTCACCATCTGATTGGGCAATATCTACCTAATTTACATCAGGTACACTGTAAGACATTTGAAACGTCTATACATTGCCGCCGGGCAGTTGGCAGAGCAAATCGCTGCAATATAGGGATGGGATGCGGCACACAATGCACATGGATATATGTTTAGACCAAACAAAAAAAACAAGACTATCTTCAGTAGCACGGCGTGAAGTGTTTTTATTTTTTTTTTAGGTCTAAACATATTTTTAATTTTCGAAATTAACCGAGTTCCTTCCATAGACTGCCTCATATGGCTTGCCCCAACTGATTTACGTGAATACAGGCGCTCTACCTTTCTTAGAGCGTAGAAATAGCCAAATTTGAGGGATGACTTTTAAATGGAATCTTATTAGACAATTTCGCTACGGCACCGCTACCGCAATGCACTAGGAGAACTTTAGTCTTTCTGCACGTGGGAGAACATTTGCTGCGGGACTGCGCGACCAGAGTGTGAGGCGGCACGAAATGACTCGGGCAATCCCGCCTGTTTTCTGTCGACTAAAGCTAAGGTGGCTTCACACATGCGTGGAACGCTTGGTGAGATTGTTGTTGTGTAGAACAACGCTAGTTGTTTAAACTGAAACTTGGTTCCAAGAACTTCCAGTGCAATGGCCGACAAACTGTCGTTCTTTTTTTTTATAAACTTTGTTTTCTTCAGTTTAGATGGTGTCACTCACGTGTAGTTGAACTTGTCTATGGCGACGGACATGTGCCTGGGGCTGGGTGGGCAGGAGTACATGTTGCGGTCGTCCTCCGGGATGAGGTCCACGTCGTGGAAGACGAAGCACTGGAAGTCCGCGTCTCGGAGGGCTTCGCGCACGCCCGCGTTCATCAGCACGCCCTTGTTGAACGTGTCGTTGCCGTACTGCGTTCAGAGGGGACAGAACAGTGGACGAGGGGTTAGAACGGTCTCGCAGCGTGCGAGTCCCCAACTGTGTTGTGTGTACATTTTAGACAGCGTGAAGATAGTGAATACCGTGGCAATCGGCGTCTGGGGTCGAAGACGCTTCTCCCATCTCAAGTCTGGAATGTGCGGCTGCTGGCGCATGGCTTTAAAAATTTGTTTCTCTTGATTTTAAGACGTTTCAGGGTGACCTCCTTACTTAAGCTCAAGTAAAAGACATAATTGTTCCGCATACCTTTTTTAGTAAATGTTTATTTTCGGCTAGCACTCAAGCAATCACTTTTTGGTTTTCACCGGAATTTTTTTTTTTTTTTTTGTGAGGCGGGACTTTTTAGGTATACGATCTTGTCAATGCTACTTTCAAACCTTTTTTCTTCTTTTTTTCTTTTTAGGGGGAAAGGGGGAATAAGTTGGTTAACGGCAGGGGTGTACAAACTCCGGCTCGCTGGTCATATCCGACCAGCGGTAGTTCTCCGGCCTGCCCGCTGCCAGCTTCCAGCAGACCCGCTGCAAACGAGGTGCGAGTAACAAAACGACGCCGTGACGCACATTCAATGTGCAAACGAAGATACATAAAAGAACGAGAGAAAGTGCATCGTAATGCAGGTCCTCTGGCCATGATATTAATTAAACATTGTCATCACCATCATTACCGTTCGTGGTCACCTGCTTTATGTGCCAGAACTGGCTGAACTGTAGTTGAGCAGTGCAGGAAACTGGCGGATTTGATTTATCTGGAAGTTACACGGCCGCTCCGCTGTTCAATTCATCCCAGTTCTGAACCAGCTCAAACCCAGTTCCTCGGAGTCTTGCACCTGCTTCAAAGTAATTTCAGCGTCCGTGCAAAAGCGGACGAAAACAGCGGAGAGAGCAGACGACACTCGCAATGCCATTTCTCGGAGCTCTTGCTCAAATGCCTGCCACGTTTAATGATATAACGCCTAGACGGAGATTACATTTCCTCCCATACATTAAAATAATATACCCCTGGTAGAAGCCGAAACGAGATCCTAACGGAGGATAGGAATTAGCTCGAGTACAATATTTTTAAAGGGTTCTACGCACCTTTTCGCGCAGGTTGGCTCCTAGTGGCAAGGGTTTAAAGTTTGTTCACGTAAATTGTTTATTTTTTATCCCATCTGGTACTATGTCGATAGCCTTCTTAAGAGACCGGCGAAAAGTATGGCACTCTTGATAGCCTCCGCCTTTAGTAGTTTTTGGATGCAGTTTGACCACTCCGATATATTGCAAAGGTCTGCCATTTACTACGTTGCCACTCGCATGCCCCAGTTTCTGAGCATATTACAGCATACTTTGTCCGCTGGTGTCGGTAACTGCCCTCATACACGCTCGGAAAAAAATATGACCGCATCTCCACGTGGTGAATGACGTTCATTGGGGCGAAGCTCTGGTGGTGCTGATGATACTGATTTTATTGTTTACAGGTATTGATGATGGTGCTGATTTTTTTTTCATCGCTCATAGGTAGTGCTGAGTTCCGGGTTGCGTTTCGACTTCATTATTACTGCTTTATGGTCGGTAAAATGCAGAGTCAGTGGTTCTTCTAGCGGATCAGCTTGGATCCGCTAGAAGCCATGGGAACGCGTCTCCATCGCTTAAGTCAAGGGTTCATGTCAGAAAGAGAATGTGTGCTATGGAACGTGGTTATATACGCATTTGAGCATTTGACCGCAGCGCCCTCTCATCTATAAACGTTGAGCCAATGCATGCAAAGTTTATCACGATTATATACGCATTTGACCGCAGCGACCTCTCTTGTGTAGACTTTGAGCGGCTACATGCTACGTTTCATCCTTGACAGAAAACCCAACTCTTGAGTTATTACCACATCTCAGAGCCCCCTACTTATCCCGAAGTCGTGGCCGAGTGGTTAAGGCGATGGACTAGAAATCCATTGGTCGCCCCGCACAGGTTCGAATCCTGTCGACTGCGCTAACATGTTTTTCTTTTTATGTGAGCACGGACGCCGGACGGACGGACGGACGGACGGACGGACGGACAAGGCTAGACCCTAAGAAGCTTCGCCCCAAAAAAACAAAAAAAAAAAAACAAAAAAAAAAACAACGCCGTGAGTCGGCATTGGCTTGGTAGTTCCAAGCGGATATTTCTTGAGTATCAGAACAAACACTTCAACTTGACGTCGAGGTGACGGTCGATAACTGCTATGGCTGAGGCGACGCTCTCGTCAGGCCTTCGTCTTCAAAGTGACCGCCACCGCGCACTGCCGCAACTACCCACGCGAAATCATCCTGATGCCGCGAAACTGTATCGTCGACGTGCAAAACTCCGAAGACTCGAAATGAATCGACTATAGCTAAATTAATATAAATAATATCGTGGGACACGTGGTCGAAAGACACGAATGCTCTTGGAAACGATAGAAAGCGGATGGTAACCGTAAAAATGCAGGCAGGAAAGGATTTTGTGTTGGAAACGTTTTTAGAACACCCAAATAAAGAAACATTAACACAAAACATTTCGTTTATATACTTCAAAACTAAATAGAAACATTTAATGCACCATACGGCGTGGCATGGAGAAGCAGAAAACACCCCGTGCTTCTGCTCCGAAAGCCGATCACAGCGCCGATCCTAACACGGTGGCTGCACTGATTCTGCGCCGCCGCTGCACGAATCGTGCACTTCTCTGAAGTCGGAACTATTTCAGAACTTTCTTTCTGAGTCGAACAGGCCTATTAATTAAAAGTTCATTGCGTTCTCGTATACAATCCACAAAAAAAAAAAAAAAAATACGCGAAGAGCAGTGCGACAGCCTTTTGCCCCATTCGCATCACTTAACGGTTGTAAGCGGAAGCACTCGTGCAGCCTAGAAGCGCAGTAATGCGCTTCTAGAATAACGACAGTGCTAAGTGGCCGACCCTTTCGATAAAAACAAATTCGCGCCCATTTGCTTCAGTCTTTCACACCACATCCGGCGTTAAATCGCGAAGCTGACAATGCAGCCCGCGCGTTTTGGATCCCGAGGGATGGCACATAAAATGAACCAGCCTTGTATCGATATTACCGTTATAAAACGAATTGCACAGAAGTCGGCGACTGATAAAATATTCTTGTGTGTCATCCCGGCGCATTTGAACTGCCTCTGCTGCAGTGTCAACATGACGAAGGCTGGGCGATTAGCGCCACATGTGGCGGTGAACTGAAACAAGTCGGCGCAAATTTTATTTACTGAACGGGCAGGCCACTTGTCACGGCCACTACTCTCGAAGCGTACTACCACGAGCTCCGCGAGAGCTTCCACTGACGACCGTTGAGCGGCGCGACGAGCACGAGTTGCTGTCCCTTCGTCGTTGGCGTTTTTTTTTTTTTGGTTCGGGATTGTGCATGGGTGCTTAGTATCCTCTGTCACGAATATTGCACATTGACAGCTAGCATTAGTTGGAACATTTTCGTTATTTTTTTGCATTGCGGGAATGCGCCAGAGTTCCCACACTTTCAAGAAAAAAGGGTGTAAAAGAATGTATTGGTACACCCTTTATCCGATATAATACACCCCAAAACTTCATTTCAACGTACAGAGCCCCATAGTCGAACAGACGGCCCCAAATTTTAGGAGGGACTTGATAACGGTGCGATATAACTTATTAAATAGCTAAAGTACGTATCAAAGACCGCACAAAGAAAACACCGAGTTTTTACAGTAGGGCCAAGAAAACCCCGATTATTTTTTTTTTGTAGTCAGTAAAGCGTACATTAGCTATATTAATAAGTTCTGTCACACGGCTACCAAGCCCCTCGTAAAATTTTGGCCGCCCGTTCGACTGTAGGGCGCTGTACGTCGAATTGAAGTTTTGGGGTGTATTATATGAGACAAAGGGTGTAACGATACACCCTTTTACACCCTTTTTTCTCGAGAGTGCTTATGCGTGGCGGCTTTACTTGTCGAAAGGTGTTGAAATTAAAGTATACGTGTTAATCCAGCTTAGGATTTTTGTTTTTCATACAAGCTTTAACATTAATTTTCTTGTTTAGATGCATATTTAGGTTTATTTATTTCGTTTTTCTTCGTTTATATTTATTCTTTTCTCCCGGCTTTGAGACTGCGAGAGACAACTAAAAGGGCCCCTTGGGTAAAACGTTTGGAGATCCCTGGTTTACAACATAATTTATAAAATATGTAAAAAAAAAAAAAAAACTATTTGTGACTTAATACGGTTTTACAAACCTTTGAGCTAGCCAGAAACAAAATTATTTTTGATCATCAGCTGAGCTTCTATGGAAAATGACAAATATTGTTTAACAATTAAAAAAAAAATCGACGACACAATTCTGTAAAACGTCGCTTTATTTGTTTCTAAGTTTGGAAGTTTTTGCTTTGAAATGAAACAAATAGTTTCCAAAACTTAAGCTTACAAAACAAAAACCAAGAAACAAGTGCATATGCACAACATGATCATAGCATGATCATGGTGCATGCTGTGATTTTTTTTTTTCATCTAGAAAATTGTGTTTATTTTAGGACAGGAATGTTACTCATCACTATGTATTCGCGGGCTTTTTACCGCAATTGTTCTCATCGTAAATTTTCAGAAATCGTTCGCAAGTTTTGAAACAAAAACGGCAAGTAGTGAAACTTCGTTATTTGGTTCCCACCGCTAGTGTTACGTTCGGTCAAATTTCAGTGACGCGTAGTTAATGTTGGCCGAGATAAAAGCACGGAACCTTTTTCTCTCAAAATACCCGGTATCCTGCGATGCATTCACAAGCGCGTGTTTACGTCTAAAACGTCGTTTGAGTTTTCATGTACTTTAATGCACGTGTTTGTATGTTCAGTCAGGCCAGTGAGGCCAGCTTTTGCAAACACGACCGAATCTGTGCCCGAAGAACTTTTTGGTAAAGGATTTTGTGAGCCACCATAGCACGTCAGTGGTTCCGTCCTGCCCGCTAGTCCAAGACAGAGAGGGCTTAATGGAGGACAAG